GTATAGAAAAGTTTTGTTTGTTTTTAAATTTTTTTTGAAAGAATCAGTAGTACTTGATAAGATCAATCAAGAAATACTATTGCTTATGCTGGTAACAACTCTCATAGTAGAGCATAATTCTTAGTGCTATTTAAACTATTATATTTTTTTAAAAGGGCTAAGTTGCAATACATACATAGACTTTATTGATGAATCAATGATGCTCACAAAACTATTGTATTATTAAGTTAGTTGAATTATAGATACATTGAGTGTAGACAAGAAAACTGATATATGGGTAATTCTTTTTGAAGGTGGACAGGGATTTTTCTGACTTTATAATTGTACTCCTAGAATTTATATTGTATATGTATTATTCAAAAAATAGGAATCAAAAAATTGTATATAACATTTTTGTTGTTTTTAAAAAGAATCAGCCATATATTTACTTTGATTTGAATAAAGGTATAAACTACATGTTAAAAAAAAATACGAATAATGACATACTATATATACAATACATAACATTAATATTGTTTTATTAGCAATAAGCTATTTAATATTTACACTCACTTTTATTTAATATAGATTATGTAAACAATTATGAGAAAACATAAAATAATCAATATATAGATATAGTTTTTTGAATCAGTGGGATAATCTACTTGTTTAGAACTTGATTTACCAAATTTTTCTCTTAATTCATTGATTTTTTTAACTAAATTTGTAGTAATATCATTCTTATACCCATGTTCCGTATACTCAACTTCTTCGGCTGATAATAATAACATACTAAGAATATTACTAATTTTTTTAATATTATTAATCGATTCATCTTGAAAAACCGACTCTTTTCCATCAATAAGGACTCGAAAGGGTCTTAAAGACTTTCTTAATTTTGTCGTTTTAATACGATCAATATTTTTAACCGGAACTACTATATAATTCCAATAATCATTATCAATAGAAAGTGATTCCATATCTTTTCCAAGATAACATATGCGTTGAAAAGCCGGCTTTAGTTGTGACATATTTTCTTTTCCAGATACTTCACGGCATACAATGTGAATTACTCGGAATTCTTTTTCGAAAGAGAACTCGTATAGAACTTTTACTTGAAGGAGATCTGCCATTAAACAATTTGCAATTTCTTTTGTATGAGGTATATCCGTAGGCGCTTTTAGTAGTGAATTAAGGTCTTCAACGGTTAAGTTTTTTTCATCATCCAATAGGAGAGTATTTCCTACTACTGGCAAATGATATGTAGTGTTTCCGAAAAGACTACATGCTAAACGAGTAGCCAAAGGGTTCACGGGTAAACCTTTCATGATACCGACATCATCACAAAATAGACAAAGTTTGTAACCCTTTGCCCGAAGAGTCGCATTGTCAGTAAGTTCACAATTTAATTTCCGTCGAATACCACCAGATTCAATATTTAATTTTACTACTTCTGGGTTACCAGAGTATGGAATGAATATTCCTCGGTATAATTTCCTTGGCATGTTGCGAATTACAACAATTCAATAAAAAATAATAACTGCGCTGTATTTAAAAATATTAAAACGCACCATTTTTGGGGGTGTTTTCTTTATTTAGAAATGCCTCTGTTGCGCAGAGTACATGCATTTGACTCAGCAAAAATTTTGAGCTGATTATCAGTAGATATTTTTTCCAAAACATTAGTAGGGATGTTAAATGAAGTTTTTTGTCCAACATATTCTGGGTAGGGTGTCGACCAATAGATTTACGTAATGTTAACAATACTATATCACGTGATGAGGATCGACACGTGGTCGTCGAAAACCGCGACTTACATGTTCTGTATATTTAAAGTTTTGGTTAAATAA